CCCCATGGCCCTTCTGCCCTTGTTACAGTCCAGCCACGTGCCAGGATGAGGAGCAGCCCCGCGAGGACAAGCCTGCAGCCCCAGTGCCTTCGGCTGAGGTGCCCTGGACAGTTTTCCACCCATTTCCGTGCCTCAAGCGATCAGGATGGGGCACAGGAGGGGAGCATGAGATGGCAGGAGTCCCACAACCAAATCCGCTGAAGCCTCAATGCTGCCAGAAAATCCTCAAGGCTTGAAAACTGCCCTTCAGAGCTGGGGAAATCTCAGTTTCACCAAAGGGAAAAGAAGATTTCCCTGTGCAATGCTCAGAGCAGCATTTGAAGGCTGCCAGCCGTCGGCAGTGCCTGCTGAAGTGGGGTGCAGTCATGGCCTGAGGGCGAGGGAGCCCTGGCTGTTTGGGGAAGCTGGTCGCTCTCAACCAAAAATGGACGTACCGCTCTCTGCCCTCTGGGGAAGTCACCCCAGCCACAGCGGGGTCCTGCCCTGCCTGTGGTCATGAGGGTGCTGGAAATGTTGGGCACTGGTGGAGGCTCAGGTGGAGAGTCGCTTGCTGCGGCGCTGGCAAGACGCTCACGCTGGGAAGGGGCATGAGGGACTGCAGGAGGACGGGCACAGGGATGAGGAGGAAAGCCGGGAAGGTGCGCGGCAGATACCTTTCTATGAGCTCTTGTATCCAGGACGGGGAGGTGGAGGCCAACCCAAGGCAGCACTTTTCTCTCTTTAGCAGGACACAAGTTAACATTTATGTGACAGACTGAAGGCATTTTAATTATCCAGTGAGCAGTTTGTAACCTTGGAGAGACTCGCTGGCAATGCCACTGGGGCATCCAATGGAGTTAGGAGGGTTTCGGCTGGCCATGGGCAAGGGGAGCGAGGCCCTGGGCACCAGCTCACCGGCTGCCTGCCCGGAGCTATGGAGAGGGCTCACAGGGAGGGGGCGAGGGCTGACGGCGCTGAGAGGGAATGATTCAGACAACTGGGTTTTATCATCTTCTACTGTCCTGGTTTCGGCTGGGATAGAGTTAATTTTCTCCTAGTAGCTGGCATAGTGCTGTGGTTTGGATTTAGTAGGAGAAGAATGTTGATAACACACTGATGGTTTAGTTGTTGCTGAGTACTGCTCATGCTAGTCAAGGACTTTGCAGCTTCCCATGCTCTGCCAGGTGCACAAGAAACTGGGAGGGGGCACAGCCAGAATAGTTGACCCAAACTGACCAAAGGGCTATTCCATACCATATGACATCATGCTCAGTATAGAAACTGGGGGGGGTTGGCCGGGGAGCCGCGATCGCTGCTCGGGAACTGTCTGGGTATCGGCGGGTGGTGAGCAATTGCATTGTGCATCACTTGCTTTGTATATTGTTATTGTTATTATCATTATTATATTGTTATTATTATCATTACTATTTTACTTTATTTCAATTACTAAACTGTTCTTATCTCAACCCAGGAGTGTTTCTCACTCTTACTCCTCCAATTCTCTCCCCCATCCCATTGGGGCAGGGGGAGTGAGCGAGCGGCTGCGTGGTGCTGAGTTGCTGGCTGGGGCTAAACCACACCACCTACATTTGAAGGAAAGAGAAGGGCATCACCATGTGTTTATGCAGCAATTTTCATCCTCCCCATTTACAGAATCACTCTTAGGATGGGGAAAGACCACTCTGCTTTCCAGGCCTGATCAGCGAGAGTCTGGCATTAAACGATAAATCTCTGGTACTCGCCTGCGCTGTATTTGTTAGAGATCCTGTGGGCCACAGCTCCAGAAGAACAGTGTCGCTACCTGAAACCTCCCCCCAGCTTCAGCAGAAGCAGAGGATAATCTCCAAAGGTGGGATTTGGGCACAGCCCACCCAGCATGAGCACCCCTGGACGTGCGGAAAGCAGCACAGCCTCTCTCATGACCACGGGAAAGCAGCGTTTCAAACGGGAGCAGAGCTTTCTGGTATTTTCCTAGAAAATGTTTCTCAGTAGCTTTTTTTCCATGCAACAGGAGAGACAAATCATCTCAACATTAATCAATTAATAAGCAGCGGCAGCAAGAGCTCGTGCCGATGGCAGCTCTCAGTTCAGTGCGGCTGGTCGCGCAGATTTGTGACTAATGGGCCACATTAATTCCCAAATCATCTCAGCCCAGCTGGATGGCTCTGGTGGAGGGGGAGGATTTAAGACGATTGCTGTTCCCATCTTAGGAAGCAGCTATTTACCGCTGTTACTGCCCATCAGGGAATACTTTAAAACGCTCAGTCTATCAGCCAGATTTTAACCTCCTTTCGCAAGGAGCGGGAAGCAGGTCCTGCAGATGTGGCGCAGAGCTGTCCAAGTTCACGCTGGAGCCCGGCAGGCAGCCACAGCCCTTCTCCAGCGCATCTCAGATGGGCAGGCGCTCCCGCTACGTACATCACGGGTGAAATTCTTCAATGGCAAAACCTGAAAACCAGATTTAGGAGCAGAAAAGTGCAGGGCAGCTCCCTCCAAGAGAGCTTTTCGCTGCTTTTCCCCAAGGCTGGATCAGGTAGGTGCAGCTCTGACGGGAGATGCTGGTGGCAGGACCCCTTCCAGGGCAGCATTTCCAACCGGGTGACCGGGGCTGCTGGGTCCTTCGCTCTCAGTCGTACAGTACACGTGCTTGTGCGCACGGAGGGACCCAGAGGACCTCGCTGTCACCTCAGATGCTGCCAGCCCCTCGCCATAACCTCCGAACACAGCAAATGCAACCTGCAGCTGCTGTCTTGCCCGAGACCAGCCATGGTTCAGGGACCAAACCATCGTGTCAGACATAATCCTGGCTGGACCCTGTGAGCCCTTTCTGAGCGGCCAGGCCACGCAGCACCGTGTTGCGGAGATGCCCTCAGCTGCAAGAGCCGTGACCCCCCCCCAAAACCTCCCAACCAGCTTGTCTTGGCAGCAGGCTACAGCGGTTCTCACTTCCCTGAAACACACTGGCACTTACCCGAGGCCTCTATGGGCTCAAGATCCTGAAAATAAAAGTCACTATTTCTTAAATGTAGGAGAGGTACGATGAGAGTGCTCTGGATCCAATGTGAATTCTTTGCAATCGGGCTGACAGTGCTGGACTTGCCAGGCAGAAAGATAGCAAAGAAGTGAAATTATTGTTCCTCCCCACACCCAAAACCACATGTGCGCACAAAACCAAACCCCAGGTGCCCAAGAGCTCACCCTAGCACTCTGTCCTGGTTTCGGCTGGGATAGAGTTAATTTTCTTCCTAGCAGCAGGCATAGTGCTGTGTTTTGGATTTAGTAGGAGAAGAATGTTGATAACATGCTGATGTTTTTAGTTGTTGCTGAGTACTGCTTATGCTAGTCAAGGACTTTTTCAGCTTCCCATGCTCTGCCAGGCGCACAAGAAACTGGGAGGGGGCACAGCCAGGGCAGCTGATCCAAACTGACCAAAGGGCTATTCCATACCATACGACGTCATGCTCAGTATAGAAACTGGGGGGGGTGGCCAGGGAGCAGCGATCGCTGCTCGGGAACTGTCTGGGTATCGGTCGGCGGGTGGTGAGCAATTGCATTGTGCATCACTTGCTTCATGTATCATTATTATCATTATTATACTGGTACTATTAGCATTCCTATTTTACTTTATTTCAATTATTAAACTGTTCTTATCTCAACCCAGGAGTGTTTCTCACTCTTACTCCTCCGATTCTCTCCCCCATCCCATCGGGGCAGGGGGAGTGAGCGAGCGGCTGCGTGGTGCTGAGTTGCTGGCTACGGCTAAACCACGACACACTCCCCTGAAGTTGTTTCTCCACCACTGAGCCTGCCCACAACACACTGATGGCTGGAAGAAAGACTGGAGAGGCTTTCCATAACCAATATGGAAAAACATTGCTGTCTAGTGAAATCTTTATTCAGACAACTACTACAGCACTATAGCTTTTCTTCTGGTGTTTATCAGCACAAACACTTTCTCTGCAGCATTTCAGCCATCCCTGTCTTTTGTTTGCTGATACCAGGGTGATGGGCACACACTACTGCTGTGATTTCTCACAGTGGGACCAGTACAATATCTCAGATGACTGGTGAGAAGGACATCAAGCACAAATGAGAGAAATTCTCAGCAGTTGGAAGTTAGAGTCTATTTTTTTGTTAACTAATACCACAAACCTTGCTGTTAATTTTCTTAAATTCACAAAACCAACAAATGACTCAACCCTTTTTATATGCTTACACTTCTTAGACAGTTCTCTTTTCCATGTCCTATGGGAATAAAAGTTGTAGTTTATTTATGACTGGATTTTTTTTCCTTTCTAATACAAGCATCTCAAGTTTTCCTTTGCCATTTGTCTTTTGTACTCACTGATGCCCAATAAATCAAGAATATACGTATGTGAAAATGAAGAACCTTCTCTTAATCATTTTAGACGAGCGCAGAATTTCAAGACAGTGCAAACTCCAGGTATGAACCCCCAGCCTTCAGGACCTCTTTCCCACAGCCTTGTAGCCTACTTTTGAGATGTAAACCTCTACAAAATGCTTCTAAGATGTTCTGGTATACAAAGCTACTGTTTTGGCTTAGAAGCCCTTCATACTGCAACAGCAGAGGCGGCAGTAAGAGGTGGGTGCACAGGGATCAGACAGAAGGTCATTTGACAGACAGGTATCTGAGCATTTCTACCCAGGCAAGAAGCCACAGCAGGGCCAGGGAAATTGCTCTTGGGAGAGAGTTACCAAAACAATTTTGTTCTGTCCTCCAGAACCAAAATAGAGAATTTAGATACCAGGTGTTTCTGGCTCATGTGAAGGCCACTTTGCTGAAGATTCCAAGGGAGGAGATTAGCAAAGCGATCTTCTTTCAGCAGTTTTATGAAGATGATGTGTATGTGTCCCTTTCAGCAGGAACAGACATTTTACTAGAAGCAGAAAAAGATTATGTGGATTTTGTCTTAACTGCACACTTTGTCTACCTGACACAATGCCATTATTCAAAGAGCAGAGACCGTCAGACCACAAATAGTGCCGTAAAAACAGACTAGTATTTCAGTTGTAAAATCGTTTTTTATTGTTACAAATATACATATGATAAAATCCCTTCAACCTGTAATGTGAGTAGCCATGAAATTTGCACCCCCTCCCTCAAAAGCTGAAATGTTTTTACAGATGTCGAACTATTTTTCTCATAGAATTACACATTGAAAGGAAGCTAATATGCAGACAGAACTGAGGAAGGAACCAATATTAATAAAATTTCAATTGCCCTCATTCCAATCAACTATATACATTAATATATGAACGTGGAAGCATACTATGATTATTCGTCATCCAAATCCTTCTCTGTTGTGCTTTTTGACTGTACACAAACGTAAGCGTTGGAGCTTTATGTACAGTATGAGAACAGGAAGAAAGACACTCCCTATGGCAGAATGTAAAAACCATACCCAAGCATTTAATATATATAATCTATACAAATGATTTTATTAGTGTGCTCTTTTAATATAATTACAATGTGCAATTGCATACCGCAAGAATATATTTATAGGTAAGTCACGTGCAGATTTGACACATTTACATTCAGCAGTACAACACATTACCTGCTGTACAGTGTATTAGTACAAGACGGCGTCCAGTTAACTTGCTTTGCTTTCTAAATGCCCTAATGCAGGGCACTCTTCATAGCTGCTTCAGAGAAATTCAAGTAGAATACATGAAAGAATCGCTGGCTTTAGCAAAGGCATGGAAAGGAATGTCTGCATTGTACAGAACAGAAATCAAGGACTGAATCAATGCCGAGTGAGTGTACTGTAAATCACGATTGGAAGATCAGGTTTCCTGCATGGAAAGTACCTCTGGTGAAAGAGCAGCTGGCTAGAAGGGCTGTCGATTGCTGTACCCTGATTGTTATAAAAAGCTCTTGCGCTACAAAGCACTTGCACTGATTGCTAAACAAAAATAAAATCTTTATCTGCTTCTTCGCCAGAGTCACTGGACTTGCTTCCCTGATGGCCATCTTTACTTAAGGACTTCTGCTTCAGTTCCTGGAACTCATGAGACTGCTGCCCAGGGCTTCTTTTCGCAGCTGTATAGAACAGAAATAGGTCTTAGTAATGATTGTAGAAGAGAGAGGAAGAAAAATAATAATAACAATAATAACAATTAAAAAATAATA